AGACCACCCCATCAGGGGGAAGGGGGAGGGCTTCTTAACCCCCTCTGGCTCAGGCACCCTTTTTAAGCCAGAGAGAAATGTAATTTGTTCCTTTTGTCTAAAGATCTGCTAAATATTTCAGTCCTTGGGCTAAATAACTTCCTCTCTGGACAGGAAGTGGTGTTTTATAAAGCCATTTTGAAAAATGGATCATTCTTAGAGAATTTTAAGCTCATTTTCCTACTAATCTTTTGAAAAATTAACCCCACCCTGGGTAAAATGGTTTCTAAGTAAAAGCAAAATCTCGATGTCATAAATTAAATTCAAGTTTTGCCTCCTTTATGAACCCTAAAAATTATCTAAAGACAAATTTTAGGGGGAATTTTCCATCTCCCAACTAGAAGGGGTAAAACTCAAGAGCGCCTCCCTAGTGTTCAGTTGCATTAGAGCAAAAAATTAATGCAACTAGTTTTTATTTGAGAATTTCGGTTTTTCTTTGTATTTTCACAAAATTCTTTAACCCATTATATAACCTTGCAAACTTTACCCCCCAAAAAACTCATAATCACAATATATTTACTTCCCATATTGACTCTTGCAAAACAAAGTTATTAAATTCAAGAATATGAAACTACCATAGCCTCCTTCAAATAACGAATCCAAGAAACTCAACCTTCAAAACCAACACAACATATATCCCCAACTCTTCCCTTGTATTTCAAATCAATCTCTAAGTATGTTCAAATTTCGACAATGGTTAAGTTAATAACAATCCATCACATCTGACAGCAATTTATCAAAGTAGTGTCACGGCAAATTCTAAATATCAAAACCGTAAGATCTATGGAAACAAAATTAATACTAATGCCAAAAACAAATTATTCAACCCTTTCTCTCTCAGAAAGCACCCAAGAAAACATTCAGACATGCAAAAAAGAATCAAATAAACCTTCCCTATTCAACATTATAATCTTCCAGAACAAATGTCCTTTCCTCACTGAGGATATCCACTTCCGATTTATACCCAACAAAAGCAACAAGTTGCATCTAGGTAAACGTAAAATCCATAACCAAAACCCAGTTTCAATTCCATGCTTTCTACAAAAGATAATTTTGTACCAAAATCCAAATCCAAAATTCCACTTTTGGTATATATAAACCAACTACTTTGACTCAATCATGAGAACACATACTGTACATGTACTGATCATGGATGTGTGTGCTATATAGTATTTGACATTAATCAAAAATCACAGTATGATTAACTATTTCTCACAAAAAGAAAACGAAAAAACACATCAAGCTGAACTTTTCCTGAATGGGAAAATATTATTAATTTGGTCCAGCAAAATAAAACACACACTTATAAACTTAGTGTCAGTTGATTACCAATAAATAAAATGCCAGTTTTCAACTGGAAATCAAGTATGTCATCTGTGCACATGGCATGATTCTTTTATTCTAAATTCCTAAATGTAGAGAATTAAAAAAATGCAGAATATCCCTATTTTATATTTATATAAAGTATATTATAGACACTATTGCCACCAAAATTTTAAGGCATTTAATGAATATCCTACAGGACACTTCCCTGATAAATCAAACACTTCTCCTCCTAACATTAACTAAACACAGTAACAGGAATCAGTTTTGTTCAGATAAATGAATATTCTATTGCAAGATGTTTTATTTTCAATATTAAGCAGCACAGGTGAAAAAGACCTTTCCATCAACACAGACAGAACTCAGAAAAATGCTGTATCGCTCATTCTGAATTTTTAGGCAAAATGCATTTTGTTTTAAGAGTTCATTAAAATCATGTGGCAAGTTAAAGATTCTACTATTACCTATTGGTTGGTTATTTTGCAAGACATTTTAAGAAAGCATAAAACGGCATGTCAACCAAACAACCATCTCTTAAAGCACAAGTAAATCCCCACACCTTTGTGGAGAAAAACCTTAATCAATGAAGTAACATATTTTCCAGCACACCATTGCCATTTTACCAGCTTTATTCAGAACACTTCACTGCTGGGCAGCTGTAAAGGCCAAAGTGTTATTTACGGCGATAACTGAACATTTAATGTAATGAATCTTCAGCTCAAAAAAAAAGCCCAAACTGAGGAATTTTTAAAATGTTAGAAATTTTATTAAAGTTAACATTTCACAAGGTCATAGTCATACAAATCAAACTGAAAAAAATTCCAGACATACAAACTGTCATCTCTGTTAACGTGTCATCTTTCATCTCCGAATGTCAAAACTGGACTTGTTTTAATGATATAAAAAGTCTTTAGAAAGTCAAATCCAGTCCATTTGTGTTGGATAAGAAACCTACTGTCTTCGCTCATTTCATGAAATCCATGATTAAAGAGCCCTGTCTTGGTCGTGTATTATCTCAGCACTCTGGTATTAATCCATTTTCCTCTACTCCCCATAGTGGACTGCCATCTTGATTTCTCAGTGGTAGGATCCATTTGAGACTCTTCAAGCTGACTGGGTGCTTGATGAAAACATTAAAAGAAAAAAACGCCGTTGGAATACCAATAATCTTATTCCTTCAGAGAACACCCACCCACTTTGAAGATACTCTTACCATACACAAAGTTTTAATTTTGCAACAGCTTTAAACTATGCAACTCTTAAAGTTGTATGTACTACACACACAACTTGTCAATGAGAGAATCAAAGACTGTACACAAGTAACTAAGTTTTCACAGACACACAGGTGACCATAAAAAGAAGTAGCAGTAAAGAGAATACATTTTTACTAGTTAAATGTGATATTGTATGCGAGAAGACAAAAATTCAAATTCAAACATCCTGGAAAGCTAAATTATAGCAACACTATGGATTTTAAATCTCAAAGAAGAAAACTTTCCAAGTTTCAACTAACCTAATGATGTAAAAGAATCTTTAGGGATTAAAAAAAAGAGCAAAAGCAGTGGATCCATCATAGCATAGCTCTCCAGTCCAACAGATGGTAATTTTGCTTAGATAACGCAAATAGACAATCAAGATGCCACCATCTTTAGCTACGTAACTGAGAATGCAGGAAATACGTGGCCACTAGAAAAAAAAAATGATGAAAAAGGCAAAGTATCAGCTTGGCTTATTTGGTATTTGCCATTAAGTGCTATCAGATGCAAATTATAAACAAATAAAATACTCCCACTGCAAAAAGATCAAATGCTCCTCATAGAATGACAAATACATTACTTAGATAATTTGAATTAAAGGGATAAGTGGGAAGCCAGGTGATTTTGCCTTTAATAATCCTGATTCATCAGGATCAACATAATTGCAAAAATAAGTTTTAGCCCTGGTCTTCTCTGTAAATTTTGCAGCTCTCAAACTAAATTTAAAGTGGTAAAGTCTGGGTGACTGACTAAGGTTATTAAATGTAAAGGCATTTTTGCTCATTAGGTAGTTAATACCTTGTTTCCTAAACTATAATTAGGACTTGCTGTCTACTACATACAATAAAAAAAATCTACTTAATAAACTATTTGGTTAACCAAGAAACACTACCACTCATATTTTTAAAAATGACTGAAAATGAGTGCCACGAAATCAGTAACAAACAAAAGATATTTCTCTTTAATTATTTTGCCGATTTCTCTCCAGCCTGAAAGGAGAACTATACTTATTTGTTCCCCACATTATTAAAACATCTTCCATCTGAATTGTTCCTTCCTTTAAATTAAGGAATATATACTTCTACATAGAACTATAAAAATAAAAATACCATCATTCCTCTTGCAGAGTTAATTATGAACCAATTTTCCCAATCTCTATTGTTTCAACGCAAAATCAAGCTCTAAATGAAGTTGGGGAAGTAAATACTATTATGATGAACATGAAACTAAAGAATTGATAACAAGTTACAATCATTTCAATGTCTATAGATGCAATTTATTCAATTAGTACATGAAATGAAAAATCAATGCTCTATATTCTTCTGCCACAGAACAAGAGGTAAAATTTACCTAGGACTTAATATGAAATTTCCTTTTTAAACCATTATTTAATTTAAAAAAAACACTAATGACATTTAAAATCTTTCCAAAATTACTCAATAAAGTCACTAGTTTGTGTGGTAAAAATAAAGGTTAGAAAATACTAATATATTGGTCATTCAATTACATATACTTATATATTTAAGATGGTAAAAAAAAAAGGGAGGTGGTGAAAAAAAGAATGCTAGAAGAGAAAGGAGACACCTCTATAACATTAAAAACTGTCATCAATCTGCATTCCTGTAAAGTCAATCAAAAGCCAAAAGTGAGAATCTTGTTAAAGGTAAAAGTGCTCAGTCAAGCATCAAAGCACTGAAAAGAGTAGGGGATTTAGGAGTAAGCCATTCATTTTCATGGAATTCCAAATTCTTACAAAACCTAAAATTGCTAATGAGCAAAGTTATGTTAAAAAATTGAAGAGAGTAGGCATGAATTCTGTGAGCTTAGAAATATTCTTGGTAACAAAATCCAGTTCTTCATCTGTGAAATAGTAATAGCAGTACCTACCTCATGTGGCAGTAGTGAGGCTTAAATGAGATAGTACATTTATATTGCCTGGCATATAGAAAGACCTCAATAAATGTTAGCTATTACTGATATACCACAAGAACCACAGTACTTGGGGGCCTACAAATCAACTTTACTAAATTCAAATAATTTATATTCCAATAATGAAACTCAGAAGAATCCATAGAATCATGGAGCCAATTATTTCAAGACAAAACACACCTTTTGCTTTAAAAGGAGAATTTAGTCTTGTACTAAAATAACATCAGTACAAAAAAACTGAGTAGGATTTACATCTCAAAGCCCTACTACTACTCCCTCTCCAGTAACTTGTGAATGGCGGCAGACCTGCTGAAGAGATGACGGTTTGATCTAGAATTCCATCATCAAACAGGCCCACATCTTTCGTGTGTTTCTCATGAGCTAAGCTTTACGCTCATACTATGGAAAGTTTGACTTTTCCACTATGATGTTCACTAGTTTATGCCTTCGTTTTATGGAAAACTGCTTGTTGTAAAGTAAAACCCACAAGCAAAGGTAAACGCTACTATGTTAAGAAGTAGGAAGTAACTGCTACCTCTTAAAATTTCCAAATATTGTACACATCCAGAAATTAACATAAAATTGAGCAAGGAGGTCTTCTCTTTAAATTCAGATTCAATAAATTTGTCCCCAAAACACTGAGTCATTGTAAAATAAAGCATTATTAGCTGAAATGCAAGCAAATGGCTCATTAGAGAAATGAGTTTAAGAGGTACTCCCCCAAAAGAAGCAATCTCCTTACCTCTACATCCCAACAAAGCCCCAGTTTCTAATAGCAACAAAAATGTGGGGTACAGGGAGAAATGCAAGGACAAATGAGTGATCAATGATTCTTAATTTTAAAAACGGGGGGCTACAATAATGCCACAATTTATTAAATCCTCTTAAAACTGGAACACTTATTGGAAAACCAAAGGAAAAGATGAATATAAAATTACAATCCGGGGCAGAAATTGATCCTTCCCATCATGTAATTAAAGTTTTGTTCTTGGTGCTATGGCTGGATTTCAATATTCCTTGTACTGGTCTTTAATTTGAAAACATTTAATAGAAAATTCACATCTTTTTGTCTTACCACCCAAGAAGAAGGCAAGTCCTCTACAGGATTACAAAATATTAACAAGTCTGGGTCTTAATAAAGTGGGCATAAAAATAAACTACACAATGATCTGAGAAAGACCAGCCAACTGTTGATCAATTATGGTATCTGAGTTATCTTATTTAAAGGTTTTGCAATCAAATCAAATCTTCCCCACTGCCCCTGTTAGTTTGAAAGTTGACTATACCTGCTTAAGAGATTGCAAGTTGTAGTTTCTTGTCAGTTTTAATTTATACTGAGTCCAAGTTTTAGCTTTCAGGCACACTGAAAAAATTACTATTTAAAGCATTGAAACTAATGTTTCAATAATGAGTTTCACTTTGTTTTTATATTAGACCCAAAACACTAGTTGATAATGTTTAAGACACTATATATTTGCCAGGGGATTAATCTCTTTAAAATATGGTAAGACAAGGTCAATAACTGCTATACATTAGGAAAGTTTTCATCTCTGGACTCACCACACCCTCTCAAAAAACACACAAAAATTTACTATTTTGCAGGCCTTAATAGCCCTTTTATACAATGGAAGTTGAAGTAGTAACTAGAAGCAAAATCATCTAGAATCTCCCATAGGTGATTCAAAGTGTATTTAAGAAACAGCTAGTATGCAATCATCATACCTAAAATGCTGTCGGTAAAAAATCCTTTTGCTTTATACAGCCTTACCCCTAGCTCTTTTCCCACTATTTCTCAGGCTGGGAGTTAGGAAAACTCTTCCACAGTAATTATAACCAAGTCTTCTTATATCAAAGCATAACCCCCATGTGAGAAGAAATGTCTGATACGCTTTCAAAAAAGGAAATTTCAGAATTACTTAATTTATTAGAATTACTACAATGAAATCCATTAAAAATTATGTTCTACTACCAAAAGACAACCCAAGGGCTATGGACTTCTAAATAGGTAGGGTAAACTTGACAATCGAGATGGATCTAGGACAAAGGTACGCAAGCTTTCCTTATAGGACAAGACAGTAAATATTTTAGGGTTTGTGGTCATTAGCTACTACTATTCTCAACTCTGCAGTTGTAGTGGGAAAGCAGACATAGACAATGTATAAATGAAAGAGCATAGCTATGTTCCAATAAAACTTTACTTACAAAAATTCAAGGGAGTTTACCAACACCCAGATCTAAAGCAGTGTTAGAAACATGTTGAAATGTTGGTTTCTCTGTATTGTATGTCTTGCCTCAATTTAAGTGAAGTAGAAAATGATCGGTTAGAATAATAAGCAAAATTTAAATAATAAACTTCACACACATCTAACCATCTTGGGATTTTTTGTATTTTTGTGCTGCTTTGAACTTCACTAAATCCCTATGTATTTTGACAATTCTGACTCAGGTACTCAAAATTTCCAAAGTCATATTTAAAATTAAAAACAGATAAAACATGTAAATTGAATAAAACTTACTAAATGCTTCCACCAACATCTATTACGTTGTACAGGCCCTTTAGAGATTCAGTCTCAGGAATCACATTTCTGCAGAAAACAAAAAGAATATAATTTTATGCATAGAAAAAAAAAAAAAATCACAACAGTATTAATATGCCATTATTTATTCACAAAAATCTTGATCACTCGCGAGAAGACCAAGACATATATGTATTTATGAACAATACAGTCCAAGAAGAAAATAAAAAAGTTCTACCCCAGAAGATCTTTAATTTGGCTGTACAGCAGGCTCACCTGTAGCATAAGTTACTATAAAAACACAGGAATAAGTCTAAACTTCAGTCCCCAAGAACTCCAACAAATAAGGTCACAATCTGAGCTCCCTAGGAAGATCTAATAGGTATTAGCAGAGCCAACATCACTCCTTCAAGTACAAAATAATTTTATCTTCTGGTCTTTCATCTAATCTACCTTTAAAACTTCTAAAGGACAACTTCCATTACCTACCTGCAAGGTCATGTTTTCTCACTTTATATATTATCATATTATTTCACATTATCATGTTCTGTATTATCACTGTTCTAAGATAAAGTGTTAGAAAGGAATCCTTAACCAGCATTTCAGGCTATTTTTACTAATTGTACTGATCTACTTAACTCAAACACTAACCCTTTCTAAAATACGTACCTGATAACAAAAATATCAAATTCATACTTTTCACTAGTTACGACTGAAATACATAAACTAAACATAGAAGAGTTGTTTCTTGTATCTAAAATATCTTCTGAAATACGTAGTTTTTTCAGTCACTCCTGCTCCAAAGTATGATTATAATACAGCATGTTGAGCTACCAAAAAAGCTCCATTTAAAAGTTCAATATTAAAGTACAGCTATTTAAGAATTTTTAGAAAGCAAAAGAACAGTTTAGGATTTAAGCTATCCAAATGCTTTTCCATGCTAAGGTTTTGAAATTTCAAATTATAAAGCAAGTTCCTGATATTCTTACCAAATCTAAATCCCTTTAGTCATCTTGACTAATCATAGTCAATACAGCAAAAATCTGCTTCAACATTACCTCTAAGAGGAAGGTGCCAAAATATCCTCCCAAAAGGGAACAAAGCAATTTATAAGAAACATAGCATTATTTATTTTTAAGCTTCCAATTGAATCGGACCTTATAAGGAAGAGACGATTTTTGGAATAAAGACAAATTTTAAATCAACCAAGTAAATTAAACTGATATAACCCCTAAGAAAAGGGTGGAGTTGACTTAAGGAATATTGGTGAAAGAAATGTCACAGTGGTCTGATAACGTACTTATAAAAAAAGCTACCTACCAATACAATTATGTACCTCTGGGTTTAGCATCTACCAAATTCAGAAAAGGACTTGGATCTCACTTTGTGCTAATATGGATGTAACCTACCATACTGGCTCCTTCCCAAAAATTGACCAAGTAGTACTTTGCCTTCCTTTGAAGGGGGAAGAAGCTGAAATGAGCTTAAGCAGGCTATAAAAGCTGATAATTTTGCTCGTTTCTATCTTTAATATTTTGAAGTATTGTAGATTCTCATTTAATATGAAATTATAGTTGCCATGTAAATAACCATTTTGATGTCTGGGCCTTTTATAATAAAAGGCAAAGATGGTTTTAGTCAAATCTTGTATTATCATCATCATTAGTCCATTTGTGCTTTCCTTATAGCATTTGATTTTGCCACCTTTTAAAATCATTAAAACAATTTTTAACATTAATAATAAAACCTGAGAACACTATAAAATAAATATAAGAAAATCTTCCACAAAAATAAGGTAGTGATAAGTCATTACAAAACTTTGCCACACAACAATTCACAAACCATTCAAGTTAGGCAAAATATCTAGCATAATCTAAATTAAAATGATTATGATTACTACATAGTACACATTAAAGGTATAATTCTTTGTCTGGGAAATATTCCATCCCAGGTAAATGATTTAGTTTTAAAAGTAAAGGATTGTTTTTCAAAATACAAAACTATCTAGCTTTACACAAGGTTTAAATCAAAATTATCAAATTGTTGTAGGAAAACGCCACTTAAATGTTATGTAAAAAAAAAAAATCAAGTCACATTTATCTATAACGTTTATAATATCCTTGAATTTAAATTGTAATGGTTAATCATACTCAGAAATAACACTCAATGTGAAACTTAAAATTTTGAATTAATACAATCGATCTGGAAAGGGAAGATAGCTGGTAAAAACAAGGATATCTATGTTTGAAGTATAGATATTTCTTAAAGGAAATTATGCAAGGCATGTGAACTGTATCACTTATGATCGAAGGTCAGCTGCAAATGTTTCATTAGACACAATAAACTTTGTTATTTTTATTATAGAGAAAGAGGGAGAGGGGAGGAAGAAGGGGGACAGAAAGAGAAAAAGAGAAAAACACAGATTTGTTGTTCCCCTTATTTATGCACTCATTGGTTGCTTCTTGTATGTGCCATGATGGGGAGACCAAGCCCAACACCTTGGCTACTAGAACAGTGCTCTAGCTAATTATGCCACCCAACCAGGGCCTAAAGCTTAAACATATTTAATCAAATAATTGTTTTTAAAACTCTAAATAATGCTTTTATTACCACATTCTAAATCTCAATTGTTTAAAGACAACACCCTAGCTGTTTTTTAAGATCAATTTTCCAATGTCTTCATAAATACTATTTATTGCTATCTGGAAATGCCTAAAATTAAGAATGTCGGCTACAGGATTGCCCAGGTCCTGTTATTCAAATAGTTTCACCACAGAATTACATGATTTGTGATGCAAAAATTACAAAACCTATTCTCCAGTTTTTATAAGAGAATTAGACACTCCTTACTATATCTTTTATTAGCAGAATTTAAGAGCTAAAAGGTATCTTAAAAAATTGGAAACTCCAAATACTTTATACTAAGTAGGAGACTACGGTGTACACTGAACAAAATGTCAAGATCACAGGGCTAATTTACATTAGAAGCTGGGTCTCTTGACTGCTGAATCTGTTGTATTTTCCACTCCATCACACACCTACCTCTCCCTAATGCGGGAGATGGAGATGTCCGCAAATTATCTCTTTCCCCTTATACCTCTCAGCAAAGAATTAAAACTGAGAGGAGAAAAAGTAAATTAATTGGTTGTCCCAGTCCCAGTGTTTTAATAATTAAGAAACGAAACAACAGTAAAATAAACTTGAAAAAAAATTTCTATTCAAAATTACCTATTTCACAATCTAGCCACCTAAGTGTCATGTCATGGTTAACAAAAACCTTGTGATAAACTATGAGCATGGCTTCTTTCATTTCTGTGGAACTTAAGGTAATTTTTAAACAGTTATTATTACCATGACAACAAATTCAAGCCAATCTAATCACCAACTTGATCGGGTGATTTTTTTTATGACTCAAGAATTAGCTCAAAATGCTAAATTAATAGAAAATATTTAAGCATTTACCACTTTGATCCTCTCAGCAGAAAATAGCAGTAAATTAAATAATTTACTTTCCTCATGAAACACAGTAATTTAAAATAGTTCTACATTTATATTTGTCTTCATGTGTTCACTATTTTTGTCCATCAAAATTATTATTGCCCATTATACAAGCTTGGCTCAAGCCGCAAATATCAAAACAATGAATACCAGCACTATCATGAAGGTTGAAGTACATGAAGATCTTTTAAAATGTGACCTATTATAATACCTTATCTTGCTGGTGATAAAAGGACAGTTGTATTCCATTAGTTTGGAAGACTAATGTAGAAGTTACTACATCATTTAATTTTTCTATAATTATTAATACTAAATTTTTAAAAAGATAAAAATCTTCATTTACATTTCTAACCTTCAATTATTCATTTTTTATTTTATGGGTTAAATTACACTTTGGTAGGCCATTACAAATTTATTGCCAATTTATACTTAAGCTTACGTTACACTTCACATACGTTTGTGTCTTGACAAACCCAATTCTCAATTTTTCTAAGTGCCCAACCACCTCTGAATGACAATCTAATATCCAATAATTTGCACAGAGGAAACTCTAACATTGACATTTATGTTAAGAAACCTTGGGATAAAAGGTGTTTTAAATATTTTGTGTGTTGTATCTTTAAAAACACTATACAGGTCTAACATTCCGGTTTCTTTTGCACACTACAAACACAAATTTGATCAAATTACAAAGGACTGAAAAGGAAAAATTAAAGGTAATAAAAATATTACCTTTATCACCTATTTGAATCAACAGAATAAGCAAACACCAAGAGATAAAAAGATTTTCCACATAAATTTCAAGGACAAAGGTAAACTTGCCCTTATGTTAATTACTGGTTGTTTGGCAACTGTTAAAATTCCCTAAGATACCTATTATTACATACTTTCTCTGGCAAATGCTTACTAATATCAGCTTGACGTTAATTTTCAGGTTCAGTATTAACTTATGAATAAAGAATATTTTCTGAAAATTGTCAGTGGACATAATTTTTTTCACTCTCATAGCTAGTTTTAAGATGTAAAATTGCTGGAAGCACAGTGAATATTACTTCTTCCTTTTATGACTTAAAAATTACTAAGCTATGGGGGTCTCTTTAGATTCATTATTCTAGTTTTCTATAAAATAACTTGTTTTTGTATCTGTTTGAAAACTCATAAAAATGGGAAAAGTGACTATTTAAAACCATTAGGTAACAACTAGAATGTGAAAGTTTCTATTTCGTTTTTGAAATATAGCTCTTGCAAGAATCCTAAAATCTGCAAATGCAAAATTCTAAGTCATTTCTAAAACCTGATCAGTATCACCAAAAAGAATGTATACTTCATATCGTAAAGATAAATTTTGATGACTCAACTACTGATTTAACCATAACCCTGAAGCACCATTTTCCTGTTCTGATAGAAACTACATGTATCAACTATTTCCATATCAATACAAAAGTGCTTGGATAAAAAGAAATGGAGTTTGATGGGCTTTTTCCTATCTCTTTTTCAAACAGTCTTTATGTTTTTGACAGATTTTACTGATATTTTCCTACGCAAATGGTGGTAGATATTAAATTTCAGATAGTGGGTAAGAACATTTACTTACTTGCTATGTAAAATACAGATTTTCGCAAAGATTTCCTTTATCCTCAAAGATAAAACTCCACGGTCTCGAGTCTTCGAAATGGTTTATCTTTTGGGGGGGGAAAAAATATTCTAAACAATTTATTGATGCAACAACCAACAGCAAGTAGGAACAACTATTTTAAAACTTTTTATTATATAAAAGAAAAACTAAAATGGATGCTCGCAAAACCTGATTTTTAAAATGTTCTTCCCTAAATTCTATTAGGAATAGTAACTAGCTCAAATTTTCCAATAAATTTATTTATTTACATATTTAAAAGATTAGAACTGTTTGCACAGTGTATTAGCTAGAAAGAAAAAGGGTATCTCTGGTTCATGGTTTTCCTAAAAATGTAATCAGCCTTTTCTTGTTCCCAAAATTAAACAAAGGCGTAAAGAACCTTTAGTATTTTAAACTATTCAAAGGGCACATTGAGTTATAACAGCTGTGCACGTATACCTTCTATCAAAAGATTCGAAGGCTTTGTAAATTATTTAGATATTTACTCATATTCATAATCACTACTTACTGGAAATATAAATTATCAAAGAACAAAAACAAAACCTAATAAGCTTATTTTTATGTCAAAATAATAAAAATTTACCCAGTCTTACCTCAAATAAAAGAGCTGTATTTGTTCAGAACCATCGTCAACCAAATTTAATTTTAATCTTGTAAGTTACCTTTAAAAAAAAAGGAAAATGATATCAGTGTTTTGATTTTTAAACATTTCTTGGCCTGAAGTTTCAGGATGATGAAACAATGAGGAAAAAATACTCCAAAGACACAATCTATGGCTAAACGTAGGAGACAGCTCATCCACACACTACCTGTCCATTTTAGGCTGCAGTTATTTCTTATCTTAACATCTATCAGTCTTTGTTTTCCTCATCTTTTGGTTGCGTGGACTAATACTTGCGATTAAGGCATTGAAATAAAAAATACAAAAGATTTACATCTTGGGACAGATATAAGATTATGACCTTGTTTTATCTTCCTCCTTTTGAAGACAGGAACGACAAAAAATACAAAGGAAAAGTTCACCATTTTTAAAGACTGAAATCTTAACAGTTCCTTTACCATCTAAAAATACCTTTTTAAATTATGAGTAACTGAAAATTAACTCTTCCAGGAGAAATCAGTTAAGTTAAAATGGCCACTGGTTACTTTTACATTTTTAAACTACAAGTTATTTGATCTCACCAAGTGGGATATGAGCTTTGTCTTTTGAGCAAGTTTCAAACATGTACTGTGTCTATGACATTTACTCAATTTCAAACCGGGGTCTTGAACACTTTCAGCCTCTCCCTTCCCCCCTTACTCATGTAAAAAGATCTTATGAGGTTAAACTGCCAGCAATTATTTTGCATTTCACTATTCAAAGAGGATTCTGAAATACCAGATTCAGAATATTCATTTAAAACCACTTTCAATGTTCAAAAATTTCCAAAAATGTCAATTTGAAAAAACAGAACTGGTACCTAAACAACAGAGTCTATAAAATCAAGATATGCGCAACTGATGTAACATGTAACACTATATGAATGCTACACGGAAATAAAACAATTTTACTGACAAAAATACCCTCAGAAACGCGGTCGATTACAGCAATATCTTTCATCTTATAAGTACTTGGTAAATTTGCCCAACAATATTTTTAGGCAAATCTGCACCTTTACAACATACAAGAGCTACCGCAGAATGAAGACAAATATATTCTAAAATACACAAAGGTTTTTTGCACTTGTGGTCTGTTCAAACCAAAAAACTTAAATTCCCTCTCAAACATTTTTTCAAATTCACAGAGAGCTCTGCAAAATTTCTGGAAACCAATATATACTAAAATACTGTTCCGTTTGAAGAATATCTAGATTTTCATGCATGCAACAAATGCAACAAACATGGCTCCTCTTCTTCGTCCATGACCGAGAGCAATCCTACTTTAATATTTACACTGCGAGAAAGTAACTTCACAAAGAGATTTGGTGTCAAAATATTCCTTTGTAAAAGTTCTGTCGACCATGTCTTGTGGTAAGGTAGATTATTTTTAAAAATAATAAAATGATGAACTTAAACTTTTTAAGTCTAGGCACTGCCTCAAGTACGTTCTAACGTTCAGGTGGGATAAGTTACAGATAACGGCTCCTTATGACCTTTTAAAAAGTACCCAAACAGCGCATTTAATCATTACTCAAATAGTAGAATGTCAAATAAACTCGGCAGATTAAACTGTATTAACAAACGTCATCGTCTAGCACCACAATTAAAATGTTTCCATTAAACAGCCTTGACGTTATAGTAAACTTGTCTTCCCGATTTTTGAAATGCCAGGCGCACTCCTCCTCCAACTTGCATTTTAAAAGACAACCTTAACGTCATCGGGGTTTTAATAAGCAGCAAGTCCCTTTCTCATCCGTTAACGCTGCAGCCGTTCTCAAAATCGGCTTTGAAAGAGTTAAGAGCCAACACCCAGAAGAAAAAAAACAAGTTTTATTTTTCTTTAAACGTAGCCAGGGTTCCATTGTTCTTTTAAACTCGACCGTCAAGATGAGTTCCCACCTTACCGGAAAGGGGTTACAAAGCTCCCCCGAAGGAGAACCTGAAAAGGTCGTTTTGTTTTTTTTTTCTTTACCTTAAATATCAAAATAACTCACCCGAACAGAAAGGGGCTCTCCCAGCGC